TATTAATCAGAATATGTAGTAAAATAAATACTAAATTCTTCTAAACAGAAAAAAGTAAATCCGTCGATTGTTTCCGTCATTTGTTAAATAGTCCCACTCAAAACTCGTTTGTTCTTTATTCAAATTTACATTAAATCAATTTTTTTTCAAATTCTAATTTTTTAATTGTAGATAAAGCTTTGGATTTTTCCGGAAGGAACGAGAAGAGACACTGGCAAAATAGACGAATTTAAAAAAGGAGCTTTTTATACAGCAATATACGCTCAACTTCCAATCTTGCCGGTAGTTTTCAGTAACTACTATTTTCTGAACAGTCGAGAAAAACGTTTTGATCCTGGTAAGTAAAATTTAATTAAGGATGGTTGATACAATAGAAAAACAACAGATGGATTTAGATGAAACATTTAAAATGACCGATTTTATAGTCTTTTATTTAATGGTTTTTAGTGGTAGGTACTGGTAATTTACTTTTTCAATTGTTTGCATTTCCAAATTTATATAGATCAACTACGTTGTTTTTGCTAAAAAATAGTACATACGTATACTTCGTTTACTTTCTGTAGCGATGTGACCTTCAGTTTGACCAGCGCAAAGTAGAAAAGAATAGCACTAGGCCAGAAAAGAAAGGAGACAACTCTCGGCCAAACTCTTAACCGGTGAGCAGCATATAATCCGTACAGTACTGCACGGAAAAATTGGCCATTTTATCCACTACAATTGCATTGCTCAAATGTGCTGTTTTTGGTACCATTTACTACTGAAAATATCAACGAGATGTTTATTGATATTTGAAGACATATTAAAGGCTTTAACGCTTGTTTTCGACTTGCACTACTATTCATGATTGAACAAAACTTTTGGCAGGTACTGTATGAAAAAGTCTGTTTAATGAACAAGAGTCGAGAGTATAATGAGCTTTTTTCTCCCTACCTACGATTTTGCCAGCGCACATCCAAGACATTAGAAGGGACACATCTCTAGAAAAAGTAAATAAAGTATATATGTGAGTTCTTATTCTAATAATATATTGATGCTATTACTGTCTCCTTCCTAATAGACCCAAATGGTATCGTAATTGTGTTTTAAATAAATAGGATTTTCTTAACTATTGCAGGGGAAGTGATTATAACAGTATTGCCACCGATTCCAACGGAAGGAATGACAGTGAATGACCTCGAGAAACTCATGAGCCAAACAAGGACAGCAATGGAAAATGCCCTTTTTGAAGCCAATAAGGAAGTTCGAGAACTGGCTAATATTAGAGCAAATATTAAATAAGAAACTGCTGTTTTTATTTATTTACTTTNAGAAACTCATGAGCCAAACAAGGACAGCAATGGAAAATGCCCTTTTTGAAGCCAATAAGGAAGTTCGAGAACTGGCTAATATTAGAGCAAATATTAAATAAGAAACTGCTGTTTTTATTTATTTACTTTTATAATAAAAGACTTGATGTACAGAAGTAAACAAAAAGGGAGTGGTGTACAAACGACCGATGTACAAACGATAGAAATTATAATTTTATTTACATAATATTTACTTAGCAGGAGTATAGATAGCAATAGTTTTTTATTTATTTAAGTAATGTTTTCTACTACAGTTGACAGTAAAATCGCAACCTTCGTTGCAAATTAAAATTTTACTCTCAATGAACCAAAAAAAGTATGACTTCAAAAATTAACAGACAATATAATTATTTAAAACGTATTTTTAATTTGCAATAAATGATTGAACACCAATTACATTCGGAATTAGACGCGGCGAAGTAGGTGGAGATGGAATGAAATCGGCACTTGCATTTTCACTGTGGGTGGGGAAATTCACATCCAAAAATCCCGTATAAAATTAATAACCAAAAATAAATACATACAAAAACATTTTAACAAAATTAATATCACAAATTTATTAACAAAATATCCCATTAAAGAGATGTTCAGAATATGGTCACAGTGCCCAAAGGAGTAGGTAATAAAACTAACACAGCCAAACATCGCTGGACGCTAATCGATCGATCAGGTTTATATAAGTTGTTAGATACTTACAAGCATTTGAATATGAAAAAATAAAAATACAGTTGTGATATATAGGAATACAATAGGTTATAAAGTTTACAACGAAAAAAAAAATACAATGTGTAATTACACAACACGCTACTGAAGTGAAACTTCTTCAAACACACAAACATACCGGGATAGGGGTTAAGGAATTGGTTTAATGGTATTATTTGTACACTATTCTTCGCACGGGTGCAATGCTGATAGTAAAAAATATACTATTATAAAATGTATTTTTTGTCATGTTAGCGCGGAAAGCTCGTTTTGCGTGCTATNAAACCGTTTGATAGGGGAAGGTGGTCTGAGATGGCATAGATTTCGAAAAAATGAATTTTTAGGAATCTTGTAACTTAATTGAAATAAATAGCCCATCTATGTAAAATAAACGTTTATTATCTTCTTAGAATAATTGAACAAAATGAACACAAATTACTATTTCTTTGGAAAACAATCATTTTTAAAAAAGTCTTGAAAATCCATCTCACCCAACCCCTATGGGTAAGATGGCATACAATTAACAGTACTCATCCAAATCACCGTTTTACTTGCAAATATCACAAATGACAGGTTTTGACGTTTTTGGTAATCCAATGCACTCTGCGTGGCACCATCGACGACAGATTTGACATCGAAGCCAGCATTCTTTGGGTCGGGAATGGCTCCAAGGCTCCATGCAATAAATGCAGGATGGATCTTCATCGTCCGAGGCGAATGGTTCTTCCTCGTCACCTGATTCTGCCAACACGATTCTTTTTTTAGTTTTACGAGCAGACTTTCTTGAAGCTTCTGCGTTTTTTTCAGCTACAATAGCTTTTAGTTGTGTTATACCTGGAGATGAATTCAGTATTCCGAATTTGCCTTTCTTACGGTTCACAAATCTTTTCGTTTGCGAACATTTGGGCAATGGAGATATATCTGCAATCGTTAAAGTTGCTTCAGTTCGATTGTTAGATTGGGAGCTCTTTGGATCTGAAGGTTCTCCATCGGTCTGGACATTTGTCTGCGAGCTCACTGGTACTGAAGGCCCTGCATCAGTCTGTTCATTTGTCTGAGAGCCCTCAGGCGCTGAAGGCCTTGCTTCGGTTTGGTTATTTGTCTGAGAGCTCTGAGGCGCTGAAGGCCTTGCTTCGGCTTGGTCTCTTGTATGAGAACTCTCCGGCGTTGAAGGCCCTGCTTCATTTGGGTCACTTGTCTGAGAACTTTTCGACGGTGCAGGCCCTGGTTCGTTTGGATCATTTGTCTCAAAGCTTACAGGTACTGAAAGCCCAGCCTCGTTTTCATCGTTTATCTGAGAGCTCACAGGTGCAGAAGGTTCTGCCTCAGCTTCGGCTTGAGACTGGGAGGTCTGGTCAGTGACGTCTGAAGGTGCAAACATGAGATGGCATACATACTGGGTGAGATGGCATATACCCTATGCCGTCTCATCTGACAGGTACTTAATTTAGAAAACAAGTGGCAACTCTTTCATTCTTCAAGTTAGTCTAATATTTCAAGCTACATATTTGTCACACTCAGATCTAAAAACAATATTGGCAGTTACCTACCTGTTAGCTTTCGTACAACAGCAGGAATCTGACTTTTTCTTCACTAAAAACAAGATTTTGAGAGAGGTTGTTTTACAAAAACCGACGTGCGCTCCGCTTCGATCGTCCGCACGCACTGTCGATGCGGCCGGTCGGAACGAGTTTCTATCGGCGATGTATCTGTGTGTATAGGGTCGCCACCGGACTACAAACGGCGAAAATATTGCTGCTATGCCATCTCAGACAGTATGCCGTCTCAGACCACCTTCCCCTAGATGACTCCAATTCAGCATGCATTCTGCTAAAATTAACATCTTACAACCCTAACATAAGCTTAGGCAAAAAAATTTTATGTCAAATGAATTTTTGTTGTTTAAAGATTACTTGCACTTTGAAAATTTTCTTAGATGCTTGTGAATAATTTCTATTTTGCGCCAAATAATTTTCTTTTTGTTTTAACGTTCTATAGCAATATAAGAAAAATGCAAATATTTTTTGAACCTTCTTCAAAGTAGGTAACAAACCGACCGGGTCGGGTACGAACTCGTCAGAACTAGTGTCTTACAGGAAAACAAATAAAACACAAATAGAACTTTAAAACTGTTTATTTATTTAATCGTAGAAATTGACAAGTGATTGTGATCGTCAATAGTAGTATGACTTTTTATACATACGTTGTGTGATATTAGTAACTCATTCATAAAATTTGTTTTTTCCTATATGAAACGTCAATTTTCTGTAAAAAACTTGAACCTAGGCTCTCTTAATATATGACTTTTTTTGAAATAGGTATGTCTATAATTGTTAATGTTTTATATAGCACTTCGCTTGTTATATAATAAAATAATCCGGAACTCACCACGTGGAGGTGGTTGCATGTCGAATTCTACCTACCCGCCCTCCTTTCCTATTCTTATTCTTCAAATGAAGGCCTTGAAGAAGTCAAATTTAGTCTCAAATATTCGCAGTACTCATCGGGAAGTTATTGTCACCTTCCCATGCGTCAAAGATGCCGTCGCTATCGATCGTTTACTACATTCATTCCTACCAATGTTATTACAATTTTGGGAACAGTAGTAGAAAGTTATTTTTAGCCTACACACCTGTTATTTTCAGTTCTTAAGGATCTCTGTAGTTTACGATTTCCTACCTATTAAGTAAAAGACTTTGACGAATTATGCAACAGATTGCCTAACTAAACTAAAAAGTATTTAAAACAACCGACCAAAACCACACAACCATCCTTGAGATATTCATTATTTTTAAAGTTTTCTATTTTCTGCTATCCTCCTCATCTTGATAAAAGGTCAAAAATTTGAAAATGTCAAAGATGGTTGTATAGTTTCGGTCAGTTGTTATAAATAATTTGTAAGAAATTATCATTATAGGTATGTTCGATATTTGGCCCATTATGGGGAGGTGTGCACCAGTAGGCAAAAGGGAACTTCTATACATATTTCCTTTTGGATTAGCAGCATGGCTAGCCGGTTTAGTTTTCATAAATAGGAGAGAGCCGAGTCAAGCCAAAAGCCAAATGAATCAAGCCGCCTTGTGGGCCAAAAAAGAGAAGGTAATATTTAATAATAGTGTTTTCTCATAAGTAATATGAAGAATTATATTGAACACATATTACCTGCTGAATTCGAAGGTAATTATAATTTGCTAATATGAATTTCATATTTTCCTAAAAAGAGTAGTAACTATTCAACTTTTATTCTATACATATCATCATCATCATAGGGTCGTCAGTCCTAAGACGGGTTGGACACGTACCAACACTTTCCTATCCTGAGCTAAACTTCGCAGTTCCCTAAAACTAGAACAACCCACATCCTTAACTATTTGCGATCAGTAATCTAACCTAGGTTTACCTTTACTCTTCCTAACTCCTGTTTCTGCCTCTAATATGTCTCTGACTAGACCTTCATGCCTGAGAAAGTGTCGTACTAACCTATCTCGCCTATTTCTTATTGACTTCCATAGAGTCCTCTGTTTTCCTATTCTTTCTAATACCTCTTCATTTCTAACCTTTTCTATCCACGGTATCCTCATTATTCGCATGTAACACCACATTTCAAAGGCTTCTGACCTTTTCTTTTCCTTTGTATGTCAGTATTTTTGTTTTATTTTATTTATTTTCATGCAGTACTCTTTTTTCAATACCGCTTCCATTCTACTATATTTTAAGCTATCTCTAACTCATCCTTGCTAGATGCTAACACAGCTATATCATCTGCAAATCTAAGCATACTAATTTTTTGCCCTTGCACATCTATCCCTACAGTTGTACTGTCTTTATTGATGTTGATGGCGTCTTCGATGTATAGATTAAAAAGTAGCGGTGACAGTGTGCATCCCTGCCTGACTCCCTTCCTAATATTTACTTCTCTACGTTGCATCCCCAGCTCTATAACTGCCTGTTGCTCTTTATACAAACTAAGTATC